ATATAGAGCATTTTATAGTACAGGAAGGAAGGATCTGTACGTAATTTTCTCTAAAGGAAAAAAATCAATTTTGATTTTATAAACACTCGATTTAAGTCTCAAAAAATTATAAGATTTATGATCAATTTTATGACATTATTTTTTAGGATGATGGCAAGTGAAATTTATATGTGAGTGAAAATGAACAGATAGTGCCGTTTGATTTTTTTGGACGGCGGAGATTAAAAGACCGTCACGGACATAGCATGTCAATGACCGGTTTTTTATACAAAAAAAATGTGAACAACCGCTATGACTCCCGTAGATCCGTAACCAGTTTTTAAGGTAAAACCGCCACGGACATGAATGTCTGTGGTGCGGCGAAATTTTATTTAATGGAAAACACTACAAAACGCCAATAGGTGAAGTTCTACAGTACTTCACTTACAACTTTATCACCGTTCAAAGTTTATCACACGATCACATATGTCTAGTAGTATTTGAATTTTAATATTTTTTTACAAATCATAATAACCTGAAATTTTGTAGGTGTGTGCACCTTAGTGAGATTCACATGAATAAAATATAAAACAAGTAATTCGAATGATAAAAATTACATAGAATACCCCTATAAAGTTTCAGTAGTAATTTTATCATTTTATTTTATGTCTATTTTTTTAATATTTTATTTTAGTGTGACTTGGTCATATGCACACCCCAAATTTTGAATAAATCTTATTAGTACAATAATTATAAAAATTCAAATACTACCGATCAATTGTAACCGTATGATAAACTTTAGACGGTGATGAGGTGTAAGTGAAGTATTGTAGAACTTCACCTATAGGTGTTTTGTAGATGCTTCCATATATATATAATTTCATTTTTTTATTTTTTAATTTCTTTTGAAATTGGTTGCTAGGTAGAGGTACATCCCTACCATTTGAGATTCTAAAATTAATTTTAAATAAAATTTTACTTGAGCTAGTTGATGGATCATATGCTCCGAGGAAGTACTTATTAGTTTGGATAAATGAAATGCTGAAAGTTGTGATTCTCTGCTTTCTTAGCACTGACAAAGTGAAATACTCCCAAAGCACTAGCAAAGTGCTGTGGCTTTCTAAAATTCAAGACCCAAAATTGACTTGCTTTTCTCCAAGATGCTTCAAATACAAATATCCTATATTCCTTTCTCCTTAACCAGCACTGTTTGATTTCGAAAGCACAACCAACTTTTCAACTACGTGCAAAATTTTGTATTTGTTGTTGGATTTTAAGACAACGAGATAAATATTTTCACGTGAAAGATTTCTCTCATACAGTTAGATGCGCGAATATTTTAACGTTAATTGGTCCCATTGCATATTTTCATACTAATGGACAGTTAATCGGTGTGAAAATATTCTAAAACTGAGGGAATTTTTTTATGTAAAAGTATTTTGCGGGAACGAATCAAATGTGCCCATTCTCCTTAGAGGTATCAATGCATATGTTTTTTTATGAAATCTTCATTTTTATTCATTTAATGTTTATGACCAAACCAAAATTAAAGATTTACCATGCTAACTTTTATAAAGAAAGAAAAAGCCATTAGGACCAATCAAAGGATAGTGTGCTCCCTAGGGAGTATATTGTTCAGTTACTCTATTGGCTAAAACCCAATCTAGAATATTTTTAGTGCCCCAAAGTTTGAGAAATAACTTGTTCAACATATAGACAAACCTCAAAATAAGAAAATCTTAAATATCACCCTCTATGTGCTTGAAAAGATAATGTCTCAAGATTGAATAGAAATTGTCTAACTTTTGAAAGCTGAGATCTAAGTGTTAGAAAATTAAAAGTCCGTATTTTTCAAAAGATAATCATCTAGTGAGTCTTAGGTGATTCCTGAAATTTGCAGATTAAAAAAACCTGTCCAAACTAGTCTCTTGCCTGAGGGAGTACATCTATAATATGTGCCACAGGAGAATAGTGTACACCGTCATTAAGTTACCACAACACATGAGCAAAAATGCATTTGGAGCTGCTCTAGCATTTTTTATAAACGAAATTACCCTTGTTGGTGTTAATGATTTTGATGGACTATAGTACCACTATGGACTAAATGATTTTGATTGACAAAACGACATTATTGAGCACATTAATAAGAAAAGTACTTAAAACTTTGGTATCAAAATAAAGAGTAGTTTAGTTGTATTTAGAATTTCAAAACTTGGTCATCTGTATTGGGGATTATCATTTTAGATCAGGAATCGGTGGGATAAAACCAATTTCTAGAAGTAATTGATTATTGTTTTGTTTCCCTCTAAACCCCCCTATTCATGTTTTTCCTTCTTAAGTTATCTAATATTTTATTAGATTCTCTAGATCCCCACTACATAATCCCCTATTTTATTTTTCTATTTTTTAATATATATTTTTTAATTTTTATTTTGATATAGACTGAACTAGATTTGGCAATCTAACATAATTTTGAAACACTAGCCCTTCCCGATCATTTTATTAAGGGGTGTGGTTTCTATAAGGTTGAGACCCTAAACGATCAAAATAAGACGCACTTTCAAATAGTGTTGAAAGATATTGTTTAGTGGAAATATTTGTGATGGTTTGAAAGTTTATTTTCATTTTGATTATAAAAATTTAAATATTCAAAAGTAGTGTAAATCGAGTAGATCTATGAACACTTGAAAAACTTGAATATTGACCAGTCTGAAAATACATTACAAGATGCACTGTTTCCAATATTTGAAATCTATTTTTTCTCATGCCTGCACATCTTGAGGTCGAAATGATCAATTTGAGGTTTTTTAGCTATCGAAACCACTCCTAGTGAATTTTTGAGATGCACCTTAATTTGATAGTTTAGGGCCTCGCCTTTAAATAAAGGGAAAATTACTAAAAACCCCATAGAATGTACTCTATAGACACTCTACCCCTACCCCAAATTTTCTCATTTCTTTTTATAAAAAACTAATTTTTATAACTAAAACCCCCCAAACCTAAAAAATAATAAAAATTAGGACAAAATTATCCCTCCTTTTTAATTTACCTTTTATCTTTTTCTTTTTTTTTACCCTTACTCTACGGTCCTACGTTTTTCACTTTCTCTCCTTTCCTTCTTCTTCCATCAGAAAATTTCCCGTTTCTTTCTCCTTCGTCAATATATTTCCCCTTTCTCTCTCCACTATTTTCCCTCATGCCCTTCTCCATTCATTCTCCTTCATCATGGTATTCATATTTCCAAGTCCATGATTTTTCCCCCTTTCGTTTCTCTCTCGTCAAATGTGAGTTATTGTCTCTCTCTTTTTCTATAAGACCCACTCTCTTTCATGACCTATTTTTTTATTCTCCTCATCTCTCTACTTTTTGCCCTACTTTCTCTCTGTACTTAAGCCAAAGCTGTACTTCTCTCTCAATGTCCCTTTTTACGAAGGCCCCACTCACTCACTCTCTCCCACAAAGTTCGGCGATGTTCATTCTGGCAAAAGTCAGTCCGGCTTTAGTTATGAGCAGTATGGTAATATCATCGAACATTTCGGCTTTGATGTATTGTTCTCCGGCGATTATTTATTGAGACAATTGGTCCGGTTTTTTATAGCATCAAATAGGTGGTTTTCTCGATTATTCCAACGTTTAGTGTGCTCGGTCCGGGGTTTTGGTATTGTTAAAGAAGAACTCCGACGTTGTAGAGCTACGCTCCGATGGTTTGTTAATTAGCATAAGAAGTGCGACAATTCATTGTATGGGTTTGGCGTTTTGTAATCTAAGTTATTTACGGTTCGGCGTATCACTGTCTAAATAAGCAATCCGGTATTACAGTCAATCAGATCGGCATATGTAATGAGTCTGGCAAATAAGTACCGCGGTCCGTCGAATGTATTATTGGGGTCCGTCGTTCATACGGTGAAGGTACGGGAAGGGGTAGTTTCATCAAAATATTACAACTTTTTTAGTTAGGGGGTTTTAGTTATAAAAGTTGGTTTCTTATAAAAAAAAGTGAAAAAAGTTTGGGGTGGGGGTATTATTAGGTATATTTCACAAATGCATCTTGTATAGAGCCTAGGCTCTAGACAATCAAATTAGAGCCTCCCTTTAAAATAATGTCGAGAAATGTGGTTTCACTACTAGAAATCTTTGTGATAGCCTTAAAACATATCTTTATATTTATTTATAAAGTTTAAAGTTTTAAAAATAATGTAGATCGATAGATCTATGAAAACTTGAAATTCTTGAAAATTGACAGTAAAAGAGTACGTTACAAAACGTACTATTTTCAAAACTTAAAATCCAATTTTTTCTCGTATTCATACATCTTGATGTCGAGATAATCAATTTAAAGCTATTTAAGAATTAAAACGCCATCTTCAAATAAAATTTTTGAGATAAGCTCAAATTTGATTGTTCAGAGCCTCGGCTCTATATATAAACTTTTCTCATAAATAAATAACAAGGTCCTTTTGGAAGTCAGCTGCCAAGGATAAAGAGAACACACGCACCAACAAAGAAAGTACAAGACCAACGACATGACATGCATGGATTTGCCAGAATTGTTGGGGATATGTGAGAAATTACGGCTGAATTTTTTTTTGGGTGCGATTTGTGTAGAGCCGAGGCTCTAAAACAATCAAATTAGATTTTACCTTTGAATAGGGCCAAGAAATATGGTTTCAATACTGAAAAGTTTTGTGATAGTCTTAAATTATATTTTCCTCTCTAATTATAAAATTTAAAATTTTAAAAATAATGTAGATCAAACAGATTTATAAAAACTTGAAAATAAACAATTCAAAATGTATTACAAGAAGCACTATTTCCAAAACTTAAAAATTCATTTATTTGTATATTTATGCATCTTGATGTCGAGGTAATCAATTTAATAATATTTAAGCATGAAAACAAAGACAAAATTTTGAGGTAGACTACTTTGATTGTTTTGAGGCTAGGGCATATATAAACTTTTCCCATTTGTATTGCTAAAAAATTACCAGAAAGAAAACAGAGACCCAATAACTCAATTTTAGTTTTATTTGTTTTTTACTTTTTTTTCGCCTTGTGCAAAAACATAGGCACTATTTAGCCATGGAGATTTGTTTTTCTTCTCTCTCCTCTCTCTGTCTCGTTTGCTTTTCCTCTCTTGGTATCACAGTCCCTCTGTGAGAACCTCATGAGGCTTTTCCATGGCGGCCCTCTTAGGGTTTAATTTGCAAAGCCTCAATTTTTTGCTTCAGTTTTCAAGCTAAGGTAAAGAATTTGAAACCCAAACGAATTTTCTACTTTGGGGTTTTGTACATGTTACATGATTGTCTGGTGTTTGGGAATTTAACGGATTATTTCTTCCTCTGTCTCTCTATGGGTGATGACTTGAAATTGGGTACTATGACACAGTCGATGTGCTATTGCGTTTTCTTTAGTTACTTTTGGTTGTTTTTTCTACCGATTTTCATGGATTTTCTCTCTCTATGTAATAAGCTTGGGGTTCAGTTTTAGTATATATTTCTTATGAAGTTTTTCTCTTTCAGTTTTTCCTCGTGGTTGGTTTTTGGTGAAATTTTAATGGTCTCTCTCTCTCTTTCTGGTTGGTTTTTGGTGGAATTTTAATGGGTTCTCTCTCTCTCTCTTTCTGGTTGGTTTTGGTGGAATTTTAATGGGTTCTCTCTCTCTCTGTCTCGCTTATGTCAAATTTTGGTATTAATTATCGTTTGCCTCTCTCTCTCTTTCTCTCTCTCTCTCTCTCTCTCTCTCTCTCTCTCTCTCTCTCTCTCTCTCTCTCTCTCTCTCTCGTTCTTCGTTCGTTCGTTCGTTACGTTCGTTCGTTACGTTCGTTCGTTCGTTCGTTCGTTCGTTCGTTCGTTACGTTACGTTACGTT